GTAGCCTTTCCCGTATTGAGTGCCTCACCCCCATGTGGGCCTTTTGGGCACATTTATCTTGGCCTCAGCCATAACACCCCACATGAAGCCCTCCCTCCAGCGTCCTTCCGATCAACTCTAAACTGAGTGGTCCCCTAAGGAGAAATCAACTGAAATTCAACTGAAAACACCGTCCATGGCCGCTCCTCGGGAGAAAGATGGGGCTCTCTTTTCCCGATAACAGCAACAGTCTCTGAAACCCACGGGGGTAGCGCTAACCTGCTCTATGGGGTCGCCATGAGCCTGCTATCAAGTCATTGATGGGTTTGTTTGTATTTTTGTATCAGGAGTGGCACGCGGGTTAGTTTCAAACAAACACAAAACCAGACACCAAGCCCACTGTCATCACATCCATCTGGACTCGCTTCCACCGCCTCCCTAGAGGGTTTCTGAGATGTTGGTCTAGATCAGGACAGACAGTCTTGTCCCTTTCCCAAGGAGAGGCTGGTGGCCTTGAATCACTGAGCTTGGGGGCAGCAGTCCGACACTCACCCAACGGCATCACCATGGCCCTAACACCCTCTAATGGTATCTCGGCCCACAGACCTGGAACTCACCAACCAAATTCACAGGGGCAGCCTCCGGAGTGGCTGGAGAGTTTGAACCACTCACCTTGAGGTTGGCAGCCCAATTTGGACCAGTGGAGAAGTCAGAGCTGGGGCCAGCAGAGTGGCTTCCCAAGAGTGACGTCATTGCCTGGGTGCTCAGCCCTGGCTGCACACTGGGATGCCGGGGATGAGGGGTGGGGGGAGCCTGTAGGGTCCCCATGTTCAACCTCACCTGGTAAGGCAGGTGTCCCAGCTTCAGGCTTTCCTGTGCTCCCCAGGCAATTCTCATGCCGTCGTTGACTGGGTGTCACGGGTCCCAAGTAAAGAGTTACTAATAGTGGCACAGTGAGTTAAGTGTTAGGCTGCTAACCACAAGATCAGCAGTTCAAACCCACCAGCTGCTCCTCTGGAAAAAGATGAGGCTGTCTGCTCCCATGACGAGTTACAGCCTTGGAAACCCACAGGGGCAGTTGTACCCTGTCCACTAGGGGTGCTGGGAGTCGGCATCCACTCTCAAGGGCAGTGGTTGGTTGGTTGGTTTTTACTTTTTAGGCCAACATAATACATCAGTGCCCATGAGGTCTTACCGTTATTCAAGGGAGCTTCAAAAAGTCCATGGACAAATGGAGCAGAAAGAGACTGGACTCCTCCCAGGGACCTTTGCAAGCCCCCTGCCATCCTCAGTGGTCATGGGTCTGGTGTCCGTCCAGAGTGAGACTCTCTTATTAGGAAGACCCGCCAGGCCCGTCCTGTGACCAGCCAGAAAACCTAGAAAGACAGCTCCAGGCTCCTCTGGATCGAATGTAGGGTAGACAGGCCCCTGTGGGTTTCTGAGACTAAACCTTTAGGGGAGTAGAAAGCCCCTGCCATTCTCCCACAGAGCAGCTGGTGGTTTTGAACTGCTGGCCTTGCGGTTAGCAGCCCAGCACGTCACCCACTCCACCAGCAGGCTCCTCTGGTGGCCTAAGCGACTGCATTATTCTGGGGAGGACGGGGCTGTTCAAATGAATCCGTGGGCCACCCATGGTGAGTAGACCAGGAGCCCCGTGTCTCAGGCCAGTGGAATGGGCCTGTGTTTGTCTCGGGACGTAACTTTCAGTCCACCCTTCCTTAGGGTGCTTGGTGCGGTGTAGCCCCCAGTTCCTGCCAGCAGGAGCGGAGGTGCTGGCCGTAGTCGCTGCTGTGGAAGCACATGGGCAGGCAGATGAATGAGCCCCGTCCAGCCTCCGGTGACAAGTGACAATGGAGAGCAAATGGCTTGTGTGGCCAGGACAAGAAGGGTTTCTCGAAACCCCTGGGATCTTACTGTCCAGAGGAAACCCAGTTCTCCGCTTACTAGCTCCTCCCTGAAACCCGACTCTCCTCTTAACTCCGCCCTGAAACCTGATCCTCTCTTAATAACTCCGCCCTGAAACCTGATCCTCT